CGGCCCGTGTGCCTGCGAAACGAGGCGGGAAAGCTCTTTGAGCGTATCTTAGCTTCCCACCTCTGATTATTGCCATCGGGGAGACACTAGAGAGGACTATTCGTCTGGTCGAGGTGGCGGTTGCCGCCGTCGTCGCACGGATCCTCGAACTAGGGCTTAGCATAGACCCTCATAAGACCGGGGCCATGGTCTTCCATGGCCTGTGCCCCGGTCGAGGAGTCTGCCCCAGTCGTAGATCCGGGTAGGTGATGCCTGGGTCGAGATCGGGTCCGAGATAAAGTACCTCGGACTCGTCCTCGACAGCCACTAGCGCTTTGATTGACACTTCGATCGCATGGTCCCCTGAGTGGAGCGGGCTGCAGCAGCGCTTAGCCGCATTACGTCCAACCTCGGGGGGCCCAATGAGAGGGTTCGCCGGCTATACGTGGGAGTGGTGCGGCCAATGGTCCTATACGGCTCCGTCGTATGGGCTGCCGCCCTGATGGCCCGCCGGTGCAGCGTATCCTGCTGCACCGGCTTCAGAAGAGGTTGGCCATCAGGGTCATAAGGGGATACCGCACCATCTCCTTCCGCGGCGGCGATGGTTCTGGCGGGTTTGATACTTTTCGAACTGCTGGCGGTGGCGGACGCGTTAGTTTATACGCGCGTTCATGCCGTCCGCCAGCTCGATGGTGTCCTGCCGGAGTCCGAAGCGATCGAAGGCTTTAAGTGCCAGGCCCGACAGCTGACTGAAAATCGGTGGCGACGCGAATTGCGTCGCTACGCCGGTAAGCCAGTTGTTGAAGCTCTCCTGCCGCTACTAACACAGTGATGGGAGAGAGGTCATGGTAGGCTCACCTACCGTACGACGCAAGTGTTCACCGGGCACGGATGCTTCGGTGAGTACCTGCGTCGAATAGGGAAGGAGCTGACGGCGGCATGCCACCACTGCGGGGAATTGGTGGACACGGCGCAGCATACGCTGGAGGAATATCCCGCCTTTTCAGCGCTACGTCGTGTCTTGGTCCGAGAAACTGGACCTGGTCTCTCGCTGCCAGCATTATTTGGGGCGATGCTGGCAAGCGAGAGAAACTGGAAAGCGGTGGACTCCTTCTGCGAGCAGGTAATGCTACAGAAGTAGGCCGCGGAGCGGGTACGCCGTATGGCGGCTCGCTCCGATGTGAGAAGGGGTGGCACTGGGCCCCCAAGGAGGTACCGGTCGTCCAACCCCAGACCTCGGGTGGTCCGGGTGTCGCCGTGAAAACCGGCCTGGAGAAAGGGGGAGGTCTGTTGCCTCCCCCGTGAAGGGCATTTAGAGCACGGGCGCTATGGAGAGTCCCAGTTGTGTTCTTTGAGAGTTCCTGGGGTTCCCCAGCGCGCCATGGAGGACCACCGTGGGGGTTTTAGCCGGTAAGAATCCGGCATAACCCCGCGCCCTCCCCCAGGGGCGCGGGTTATCTATGAAGATTTCCCCAAGTTAAAAAAAAAAAGTAAGTATGAAAGTGTTACGCGTGACACCGTTACGTTAAGATTTTATAATATAGAGTACAATATGACCGTGACAGATGTAACCTAACCTAAACCTTATTTTTTTAACGTGGGGAAAATCTTCGAAAGATACCCCGCACCCCTTGGGGAGAGTGCAGGGTTATGCAGGATTTTTACCCGCTACAAACCCCACGGCGACCTTCTCTGTCTGGGGGCGCCCC